TTCAGATATCGCACGCCCTTGCGATATGCATATTGCGATATTTCGATAATTTCGATATATCGTGCAGCCCTAATTAAAATAAATACAATTATATCGGCCATCGGCCACCCTGCTTTCCAAAATATCGGCATCGGCATCGGCTGTCAAAAAAACAATATCAGTCGATAGGGTTGGGTATCGAAAACCGGTTCCATTTTAGAACCGGTTCCAAATTTCCAAGAACCGGGTATTCGATAAGACGTGTGCATATTGATTCTGCTTAACGATTCCTGCGTTCGCATTTTAATGTGATTAAAAACTATTTAAGTGCAGGAACGGAAAGAACTTGCGCCCTTTTTGCATGCAGCGCACACGAAGCGCAAGCGCGAGCACGGTACGGGTTCCCGGTTTGTGTCTGTTCTCGAACCGTTCCGTGTATTTCCACTGTAGAAAAGGCTGTTCCGGGCCGAAACTGACTTCTTTCATATTTGGAATCGGAATCGATAAGCAGAATCGGAATCGGAATCGATAAAATTCAAACGATACCCAACCCTAGTTTTGGGCGTTCATATACACGACAATGGCGTTTTGGAGCAAACTTTTGAAAACGGTGTTAAAGTGCACATTTTTGAAAATGATACCATTAGGGCTGCACAATTAATCGAATTTCGTGTTCAGCTTGTTTATTTTCATATAAAAATACGGCATGCAGTTGCATCAAACAATGGTATAAACATCAATGTAAATTGTGATAATCGTAATTAATAATTGCAATTACAATTTCAAGGGAATAATCGACAATTATGATTTTTGTCATAATCGTGGAGCCCTAGATACCATTATCACCTCCATGAAATCATGCGTGTGCGTATTACGTGTTCAGTCTATAGGAATGCGTATGTGTGCAGGCATGTAGTGTTTCTTTACAAAGTGATGTCACCATCTACTGGCCTGGCATGAATAATACGACGTTTTTTTAGTCGTTTTCGCGGATCCATGTGAACAACATTGTCTGTATGCAAAACTCTTCAAAAATGCAAAGGAAAAACATTTCCATTTTTATTACAGTTGTGTTGTGTAAACGTACCCTTTGAACATTTTAACGTTATCGCCCCTGGTGTAAACGTGCCTTTACTTTGAAACAGTTTTTACTCCAAAATTGGTAATAAATTTCACAAATAATTACAAAGTAACAATTTTCAGGTAGAAAAACTGAAATAGTATTTTCTTGCAAAATATACTTCAGTAATCTTTTGTTTTATTTACAAGATACAACCAGTGTTATTATAACATCAATGAGATAGTATTAGGTTTATTTTTACATTTTGTTTTCATTTTAGTATTAGTTAATTTTAAGTGTTTATATTTGTTTTTTTGTCTTTTTTAGTAGTATATTTATATACATAGACTAGTTTTTATTCATTTAATTTTAAATGTATTCCGTTTTAGTTTTTCTGTTGTTTTATTACATAAAATTAACCAAAGTTAAAATGAGAAATGTTGCCTTAGCAACAAGCTGAAATAGTTTTTATTTTTTTTATTTTTTTTTTCAGTTAATGTTTATTTTATTTCAAGTTATGAAAATGGGATTTAATGATCTCAGTTTCAGTTTTAGTTAGGCCTATATATAATAACCCTGTTTACAACTTCGAAAAATCTTTTTTTTTTTTTTTTTACAGTGTCAGCTAAAAAACCTCTTTCTACTAGATTTTTTTGGTGTCATTTCCCGACATTCATCTCGGAAGTAGTATCAAATCCTTGTAAATAAATAGAACAGATGTTTGGAGTGTTTGGGATGTGAGATGACAGCCTCCGCATCCTCTCCTCTCGCCCGGTCAACTTTTTCTCCTTTTCTGTTTCTCCATTCAGTTGCCATGGCAACAGTGTAATCTCACTCTTGTCTCCACAACAGCAATTTGCTCCACTGTTTATGCCGGTGTTTTCGAGGAAGTACAGTATCTATATAGATGCATGAATGCAACCTCGATGCAACTGAAATAAAACGTGCCACACCTTGTCATCTCTGTAAATGCACAACAGGTGTGAATACTAAATAATAGTGCATAATAATCCTGGTCTCGAGAGAACACACACCTTCTCTTGATGTCAAACTGCAGTGCACAGCACCCCCACCCCGCCTCTCCACCCCACAACTGGAGTTGTGAAGCAGAAGGAACGCCATTAGACACATGCAGCATCAGCCTTGTTATGCTCTGACGTGCCTCCACTTCACCGCCGACTTCTCCATCTCATCCTGTGGCCCACGGGGGGGACTGTTGTCGTGTTATCGATTGGCCGATTGCAGGAGAGGTTACAGAGGGGTTTCTTTTCTCCAAGGTGTGGCTGAACATCCTTCCTGTGGAGCGATTAGAGAGAGCGAAGGATGGTAAGGAGGTTGGGGTCTCTGGTGTCTTGTTGGAATCCTGCGTGTGTTTGCGTTCTGGTGAGATGCGGGTTATGGTTACTTATGGTGACTGGGAATGTGATCAAAACAAAGGCGTCCATGTTGGGATGCTGCTGGTCGCGTGAGGCTGATCCTCTGGCAGCGTCGCTCGTACCGCGCTGGGTTTGTTTATGTGAACGTGACGTGAAAACGAGCTGTTTCATTATGAAACTGATGGATGATTATTTGACTTGCAGTTGTTTGGAGAGAAACACTGGACATGTGAAGTGAAATGTGCTTGTGTGTGTTTGTTTATGTTCTCAAATGTGCTGCTGGAATGCTTGTTTTTCTTGTTTTATGTTCTATATAGTGAAAGTGCTTTATGTAGAATATGGGGTTATTTATATATATGTGTGTGTGTGTGTGTGTGCGCATGTGCGTGTGTGCGTTTCAGTCTCTCCCTGCTGATTTCTGCATGGCGCTGCAGATATCTCCGCGTCGCAGCATCACCCTCCCTCAATGCAGCAGCAGTGAGAATGAGAGATATACGCAAAGAAAAAGTGTGAAAGTTTGAAGCAGCCAACAGTCAAGGTTATTATTGTCAGTGAAAACTATTACAAAGACGAAAATGAGCAGTACAGCAAATATTTTCAAATAAAAACAAACACGTTTGCAAGCAAGCAAATTTTTATTTTTTTCCCCTTTTTTTGATCGTTTTTTATTTTTGTTAAGCAAAAATGAAAACTATAAATGTGTGATCAAATACAAATGAAAACGGGAATTAAATGTTATTTATTATTTATTTATTATTTTCTTCATTAGTTTGTTGTTGTTGTTGTTTTATTATTGTTGAGTAAAATAAAAATAATTTAAAATTAAATTTTTTTGTAGTTTTTCCATAATTCTTTCATAGTGTTTTTTGTTGTTTTATTAAAAAAAAAAAAAAACACTTGCAATTTATCGAAAACTAAAAAACGTGTGCAAAATGTGTGTTTGTTGTTATTTTATTTTTGAGTAAAACAAAACCAACACAATTGTTTTTTCAAGTAAAATAAAAACAAAACATTTGGAATTTTGCAAAAACTAAAAAAGTGTGCTAAAATCATTCATTTTTTGTTTTTCTTCATAGTTTATTTTATTTTTATTGAGTAAAACAAAAACAGAACAACAGTTTTTTTAAGTAAAATAAAAAACAGAAACATTTGCAATTGAATGAAAAACAAAATATAAATGTGCACTAAAATGCAATCGAAAACAGAATAAAAATGGATTAAAGTTTTCATGTTTTTTTTCATAGTTTTTTTTACATTGTATTGTTGTTAAATAGAATAAAAACAACAAACAACTAAAAAGTAAATTGAGTTTGAAAAATTGGGAACAAATCATCTTTTTTCTTTTTCACTCAATATTGGATGGACTGATTCAGTTAATCTCCCAAGCCTATTGTATTGTGCATTCTGTCAAAAAGAAGCAACCGTCTCATCATCATGTAAAACAACCAGCCACAGTTCACATTTCATTATTAAAGGGATAATTCACCTAAAAAAATGGATATTGTGTCATCATTTACCCTGGTGTCATTTCAAACCTACTTTCTTCTGTGGAACATGTCAGTGGGCATCAAAACCGTTTGGTTCCAAACATTCTTCAAAATATCTTCTTTTGTGTTTCACAGAAAAATAGGAAGTCAGGTTTGAAATGACATGAGGGTGAGTAAATGTTGACAGAACTTTCATTTTTGGGTGAACTATCCCTTTAAGTATTGTTTGAGGAAAATGGAACAATTGGTGGTGTTGAGTTACAAGAAATAAAACCTTAAACTAATACTGAACCAAAAAAAACTGAAACAAAAACAAATTATTTTACGAAGATACAGATGGAATACAAACTATTTTTGAACCATTAAAACTACTTAAAAGTAAACAATAATTTAAATTAAAAATACAAATTAGGCCTAAGTAAAATTAAAGCTGGTTAAATTTCCAAATATTTGCTTACTGGCACATGGCAGTTAGAGAAGAGCTTATCTTGATCATCTGCTGA